AATGTAACCTCTAGGTTGAATTCTATATTTTAAAATTAACAATAATTAAATCGACTTATTTATTTTTTTTATTTTTATATTATTTGTTTTTTGGTAGAAAAAATTTTTGGTTTGATCCACTTATCATTAAATTAATATTATTTATAAGCCACTTACTTTTTAGCAAAAAGATTTACCTTTTGCTAAAGTTTTCGTTAACATGATTTTGTCTTAAAGATTGAATATACTTATAAAGTTTCATTCATAAGATCTGTCTCGTAATACAAACTTCACAATGATGTTCCTAAATTTAATACCCGCAGCTTTTAATTCAGTTCTTTTTTTTCGAAGCAGATGTTAAGCTTCTTCTAGTTGCTTTTCACATGCCTTTTGCTTTGCTTTTTGCCTTGAGTATTGGCTAATCTAGCATGAGCCTCTGATAATATTTCCTTCTCTGCTTAATTTTAGAAATAAATTAAAGGGATATAAATTTTGTGAACAATGTAAAGAATAATAAGAATAAGAAATTGACAATACCATCTTCATCCATATCGACAGAATCGAGTTTTGCAGACTTTGTTTCTGGATCAGAGTCAATTTCTCCAAGTCTAAGTTTTCGAATATCTTCAACATTCGGATCTGTATCACCTGCCGGTCAAGTCAGATCCATTTCTTTAGCTTCTGCTTTATCAAACAATCTCTAGTATCTTTCAAGACATTGAGATACATTTTTTCGACAATTGGAGTAATAGTTTGCTATTGCGTTGGCATTAATTTTGCTAAATAAAGGAGTTTTACATATTCTTCTTTTGATTATTCATTCTAAATAACAGTTTAAATAAATTTTTTTATTATAAAATGATAAGTATTTGAAAAAAAATTGTATAATTTAATTGTTGCCAATAGACAAAACATATCTTTTAATGCTAGAATCTAGCCATTTATACTCCCTTGTTCTTGTGACTTTCTAACTAGCAAGGATAAGATGCAGACCTACTAATTTTTTCATATTTGCTTTTAAAATCTCATCTACAAACCAACAAACCAAAAAAAATTAATTAATTTCTTATAATATTTATGCTGTCTTATTAACTTTAGTTGCTTGCCTTCAGTGTTTTTATAAATTTCACCTTTAATAATAATTCTCAATTTAGTGTTTTAGATACAGTATACTATGTATAACAATAAAACTCTAAAATAAATGTATTTATACTTATACACTAATGCTATTTTAAATATTTTCTTGTATAAAATCTAATGATTATAAGTATTTAGAAATAATCAACTAAGTTTTTTGATATTTATACCTACTGATAAGCGCTAAATTTTTATACTCATATAAAATTCAGTGATCATAAATATTTAGAAATGATCAACTAAATACTTTTGCTTGTCTTTGGTGATCAGTCATTATCATTTTATCAGCTCAGTAAAAAATCTAACAAAAAAAAACCAAAAAATATTAAATAACTGGTGAATAATATAAATAAGTTTATATTAGTGCACAAATTTTGTGTGTAAAAATCTTGTTTTTACTATCAATTGTATTTTTTTTACAAAATTTTGATAAATTTTGATTATTTGTACAATTGTTAAGATTCATTATATATATTGTATATATTTTTTTTTAAGAGCAAAAGATTTTATTTTTTTAATAGCAAAAATAATATAGAACTACAAGCATGTGTTTGTATATATGTATATATCAGACATTGATAATAATAACTGTATATATAAACTCTTCCTGATGATCACTTGTACCAAACTTCTCTTAAAAACAATTGCTATTTTTCCA